TAGTCACCACGGCAGTGGTGGTAGCATAGTTACCGCCCCGCCAGCCGCCATCTCCAACCCGACCTACGACGACCAGTTTTACTTGAACGCCACCGTGCCATTCTGTAAGTTACGTGGTTGCCAGTCGCTTATCTCATTTTGAGTAAATTTACCGTTTATGTTGTATTTATTGTGGGGGACAGTTTTTAGAAACTGTTTGGCGATAATTGACTGGAGATAGAGAAATAAATTATTGTGCAGGTTCATTTAAGGTCAATTACATTTTCATTGTGCGGGAACTTCTGGCTTTTTTTATTCATTAAATTTGTTGTTGTTTGTCATCGTCATCTTAAGCTTATACAGCAGAGTGGCCTAGATCTGTAATGTCTAACCGTTGGAATGGCAACATAGGCAATACCGATTGGGATAGGCAGCGTTTACAGCTGCTTTAAGATCATATTCCTCATCGCGGAGGGACGCTGGTCTCGATTTGCCTGCATCAGCCAGTAATTTCTTACTTTAAAGGCGTGACGTAATTTTCTGGTTCCTTTTCACTGGTTTCGTAGAGTGATGCGCATTAGTGGTACGCGTTTATCAACCTCGGGAGGAAGAAAGGCAAGTGATTTTGACCGGGCTCGAATCCACAGCAATCTTCTTTTCCGTGTCCTACGCTCTACCGACTTCGAAATTCCGGTCGTAGCCAGATTCGAAGTTAGGCAGCTCTGCACTATTATTGCCCTTTTTCAGACTGATATGACTGTCTCTGACAGATCCGTACCGTGTGTGTCCGTTTTCAGAGTTTCTGGTTTGATTTAGGCACTAAATCGAGCATCTGTTTCAGATTCGCCCAAACAAGGAATGCTAAAAAGACCCGCTACTCTGGACGTAAAACGCGACTGCTTCGGCTTGACGAATGGCGTTTCCACCGAGAGCGGCATATCCACCGCCGACAGCTCGTTCCTGACGCGATTTTCTCCGCCGTCGTCGTCGATTCCAGATTAACCGACTTAACACTAATCAGCGCCAGCTGTCTAGCCAGTGTAATTTTCATGTTGGCCTGCTATGAGCAGATCCCCGACGTAGCCTGTATCAGCAACGATGTACGTCCACGGTCGACGTGATGACAGCAACGACGGTAACGATGGCGACCTCGGTCATTGTCCATGTCATCAGACGGACAGTCCCGTTGTCCACTAACGAGCCAGCCACGTTTGGCGGCGTTGAGCAACGCACATACACATCGGCGTCGAAACGGGCGGAGAAGTTAAAAATTGCAGCAGTCGTACGCTGAACTTTTAGCGCGACTTTTATTTATTTTCTTCGACGGAGAAACTATATTTTTTTAACTCTTTCTATGTGTAACTGCCTGTAGTTTTTGTTTCTTTTTATATCGGCACGTTTACGTTTATAATCATGTCCCGGTGGTTAGGTTATTACCGGTTTGCTCTATCTTATGTGATCATGGTTGCGATGGCTAATGTGCAGTTGAACAGCCTCATTTTCGAGTGTGATTTTACCAACTCTGTCTTTGCTGCTCTTCCGGTGTAGTAAGATTTCTTGTTTTGCGCATGTATACCCTCTGGTATTTTAATGCTTCGTTGCCACTGCCGCAGCCGACAGCGGTGTTTGGCTGATCTGCAATAAGGCAAGTTGCGTTTTTCCCTTGTGAAACGCTGCTGCTGGATATTCTGTTAATCGGTTAAATAGTATTCTCTACGGTAGTGCATGGTACCATACTGCGTTATATTTCTGGCCACTTTTAATGTTTTACTGCAGAAGGATCGGACTAATACTGATAACGATTGATCGGGTGCCTATATGAACACAATAACAAATAGTCAGGTGAAATCATTTACTATTTTTCGAACAAAATAATTTCCATTACACAAGGCGTTGCGGATTGTAGAGTAACGTCGGGGACAGTGTACAAAGGAAGGGTACCGTGGAATATTTAGACCATGCAACGATTTTCATTGATCTGGAAACTGTTGCTAATGAAGCAGGGTTAAGGAGATATTGACAGGTCTCGTTTTGCCTTCAGAGCAATGATGTTTATAAAACGAACACTGCTTACGAACCCTGTCATAACTACCGTTTGTTTAAGTGTGATCGTGTGTTCTTGTTGCGCTTTTCTGTGCGGATATAATGCGATTCATGACCTGGGCGCTAAAAAATGCCAAAGTTGCTGCGGAGAAAAACGTCTGCTGTATCAGTCGAATCATAAAGACGATAGAAGCGCGCTCATGAAAGACAACTGTTAAACGTGCAAACAGGCATCCGTTGGACCACCATCGTCGAACCGGTGTCCAAAAAGTACTGGCATGATCCGATCATCAAATTATTTCGTCTACTGTATGATTGTGGTTCTCCAGAAAGCAGAGAATATTGG